TCTTTGCCAGACATCCGCCTCTTGATCACCAGGTGGACTCGCTACCGGACATCCCGGCTGGTCTGCTGGCAAAGCACATAGGCTCAATAAGACCGCACAAGGCGGTACCGCAAGGCTCTGCTCCGGCGGCTGCCTGGCGGCTCTGCTCGGCGGCTGCGGGAGAGGCGTTAGCAGCAACGCTGCAAGCTCGGGGGCAACGCCCATCACCGGCTGCTGAAGTGCTTCAGCCGCTCTTAAAAGATGCTGACTTGTGTTTTATCCCCAAGCCTAACAAGCCGGCCACGAAGCCTGGCAATCTGCGTCCCCTCGGCATCATTCGACCAGACGGAAAGGGCCTGGCGGGGGCTTGCAGAGATCAGCTGTCTCCCTACACGGCTGACTATCTTCGGGATCTCCCGCAATTTGCCTACCAGCCGAATCGCGGTCTTTCAGATGCCTTGAGCAGGGTCGTTGGTCATGTCACTCAGGTACGCAATGACTGCCAGGAGGCCCGACGAACCAGGCATCAACTTCACTCTGGGCAAACTCGTCCCCAGCTAGTAGGTGGCATCTGCTTTGCATTGGACTTGTCACAAGCCTTTGACATGGTGAGCAGGACAGACTTGCTTAGCACACTGCAGGACGCGGGAGTCCCGCAGGACCTCATTGACCTAGTTGCCTCATTGCATGCTGGCAGTGCTTACACGTTTCGCACCCAGGGCGAAGAGGACACGGTCCAGTCCACCGCGGGCATTAAACAGGGGTGTAAGCTTGCCCCCACACTTTTTTCCATGCTTACGGGCACCATTTTCCGGGAGCTCATAGCTCTTGTTGGAGTTCGAGCGGTAGTGGACTACCTCACGGGCTATGCAGATGACCTTACGGTTCATCGCGACATCCACTCGTTGGAGGACCTGGATCGCGCTCATGCTCTGATTGAGCAACTGTTGCAGTTGGTCCGCAGCCATGGTTTTGCTGTCAATGGAGCAAAATGCACTGTTATGATTAAACTCGAGGGCCAACAGGCGCAACGCGCCATCTCCAAGCACACTTATTGGCGCACCGCGCCTGACGGAACCCGCCATAAGATGTGGAGACTGGGAGAGTCCAAGTCTCACGAGGGCTTTCCACTGGTGACGTCCTTTAAGTATCTCGGCGTCATGCTCTCCTACTCCAACTTTGAGAAGGCCACTCTCAAGTTCCGCTTGCAGGAGGGCAATGTGAAACTGCAGCAGGTACGCCGCTTTGTTCATAACAGACGAACGGCGGGGCCAGCATCGCGGTTGCACATTTGGCATAGCACTGTCTGGGCCACAGTAGCCTCAGGATTGGTGGATGTGGGCTTGACCCTAGAGACAGCTAAACTGTTGCGAGCTTGGCACGCTCGCAAAATCCGGGCTGTCCTGAACAAGCCAGCGCACCTGACACACATATCCACAGCTGACCTCTATGCCTCCGATGAGATCATAGACCCTGTCCGTAAGCTGCAGGCGCGACAGGCCAATCGGGTCAAGCGCTTAGGTACTCGACAGCGGAAGACTCCTGCTGGGGATATCTCTTTAACTCAGCGAGCGCTCCTCCAGGCGGAGGCACTCTCTGCTAGTTATGCAGACGTTCTGCAGCAACTCTCTAAGGACACATCACAGCAGGAGGCTCCCCCGTCCTTTGTGTGCCCGACGTGTGCTCAGGCCTTCGACACCGAGGTTGGCCTTCGCACCCACCAGGCCCGCAAGCATCCAGGCTCGGTCATCAGATATGTCCCTCGAGGCTTCTCCCACACCCTCTCTGTAGGAGGGCTCCCCAAGTGTGCGGCTTGCAACAGGCAATTCCCTCAGATGAAGGGCTTAAAGGACCACTTGTTATCAGGTGCCTGCTCGGAGCCAGCTAGGCTACAGGAGCTCGATGATGCGGCGCACCCTCCCTTGGATTCGCAACATCAGCCCAGGTTGCATCCCAGGCAGCAGCGCTTGCATGACACTCTGACAACACACACGGCTGTGGAGCTCGGACGATCTGATGAGTCTCAGGATCTTATGTCACATTGCTTGTTGTGTGGGTTCTGGACCCCGGCAATACCAAGCTCAAGTCTCACATCCGGCAGGCCCACAAACCTGAATGGGCGGCTCATGGCGCTACAGCTGCAACTCAGAGCAGCAAATCAGGCCTGACCCTTGTCAAGGGCATGCCTTGCCCGTGCTGCCGCAAGCCTGTTACGGATAAGAGGCAGCGTCCGACACAATGTCCGATCCTTTTTCAGATTCTGTTTTATGACTTGGTTCATGCGCTTTCTCGCTGCCAGGGCGGACCGCTACGCAGGTACATGCCAGCGATTGGCACGACACACGGCAACGCACCCAAACGGGACGATACCACCGCTGTTGGAGCAACGCCCCAGACTCGCCAGGCAACGCCTGCAGGCCCCCTGCCACCGAAGTCAGGGGCAGTAGAATCAAAGGACGGCGCGCTCGCTGCTCCCCGCTCGCTGCGCAACATCTCCAACTACTGCTATGTTAACTCAACGCTTTCGGCCCTGGTGCCGACGTGCATCTTGCTGGAGCACGGAGGGGCAAGCACCTCCCTCCATCAGGAAGTGGCCGACTCTGTCTCTGGTTCTCCTTTCACCCTGACTGCCTCTTTCACGCTTCGCCATCTTACTCCCACTTGGCGCTATGATGGCCAACAACAAGATGCTTCGGAGTTTCTAGTGGCCTTATTTGCAGGCATTACCGCCTTTCCGATTGCACGACCCTGGGAAGTCAGGGATGTAAACACTACTGAGGTCACCGATGCGGGAGGTCCGCTCGCTTTGCTGCCAGCTCCAACGACAGGTGGATCCCATGCACTTCAGGAGCTGCTCTCTCGGTGGTCTGGCCAGCCGGCGCACACCGCCTTTCGAGGGCAGCAACGACTGGTGGTTCTCTCAGTGGCGCGATTTGTTGAAGGCCGCAAGCTCAGCTATGCTGTCACTGGTCTGCACCACCCCCTTCAGCTCTCGCAGTGGGCCCCGACGGGCTCCGTACAACTAGAGAAAGGATGGGTTCAATCCTGTATTTTCCACATAGGTGACACCCCGCACAGTGGACATTATCGCTCCCTCTGGAGGAGCAACCCCGATCAACCTTGGCTCAGCACGGACGATGGTCGTCCGTCGGTTCAGGCCTCAGATTCAGATCTCAGGCAAGCACGCCACGGCTGCTATGTGCTGTTCGTGCGACTTGGTTCAATACCGCACACAGCGGAGGCTGGCCCCATGCCAGTCAATGTTTCTGACGACTAAGCTTAGGGTTCCCCTGCGGCCAGGGGCCCCCACTTCCTTTTACAGGGAGGGGGCGACCCACTGGCTCTGTGGGACCGACCTGCCTGTACGGCAGGGAGCAGGAACGCTGTCACTCAGTTTTGCTGCTCAAGTCGTACAGCTGACGTAGCTCTTCTACTCAGTGTTTGTGTGCAATCGCGGCCTATACCTGTCATGCTAGTCGGGCAACGCTCGCTGCTTTCCCAGAAAGGGCAACGCCTGTCAGCAACACAGCTGACCAATGGCTGAAATCGGCTTTACAGACCCCCATTCTCGGCTCGAGAAGGGGGGTTTGTCCGAGGCCTAAAAATCAAGGTTTTGCAAACCCCCATTCTCGGCTCGAGAATGGGGGGTTGTCCGAGGCGCCCAAGCCATTGCCGGCAAGCCTGGCCTCTGGAGGGGAGTACGCCTCTTACGAATAAGGTTAGCCTTATTAGGCACAGTGTGCTAACCGCCAGGGTGTGCCACATCGTTCACCGATGCAATCTGCTTGCCCACAAAAGCGGAGCTACCTCAGATAACAGCACTAGCAGCCGTTCCACGTGCTCATCACCTTTGCGACCTTACGGCCCATCGCCTTTGATGGACGCCACGTAACAGGCACTCTGAGTGACGGTCCCGCGGGGTACGGCTCATCAATCATTGGTTCGTGGACATGGGACGCCATAGTCCACACTGAGGGTGACGGAGGTTTCTCACCTCCGCCTGAGACGCATGAACCGGCTTTTGAGGTAGCTTGTAGGGTAGCTCTCTCCTAACGTTAGCCTGTCTCAGCGCTTTCAGGCCCAGGCCCTTTGCAATTCTGCTCTCAGATTTTTGCTCAGGTGCAACGGCAGTCTCACACGCCCGCAATGAGCAGAGCCCGCTCGCTCAGCGTCCAATAATTGTTGTTGTTGTTGTTGCTGTTGTTGTCGTTGGTGGCGTTTTTCTTGTTATTGTTGCTGTTGCTGTTGCTGTGGCTGTTGCTGCTGTTGTTGTTGTTGTTACATATACATATATGTACACACGACATGCATGAAGATCTACATTCGATCTTCTCTTACAAGTCTGTGCTTAATCTCGGGTCGTCAACGCTTTCGGGACATTCGCCTCTCTGGTTATGATTGTAATTCTACTTATTACATTTATGAAGGCCCCCGACATGAGTGGGGTCAAGTTTACGTTTCAAGTGTAAGTTTCACGTACCGTGCACCGTTTAGCACTGGGGGTCCTTATAGCAGGGTGTATGAAAGGGTTCAGCGTTAGGCTCTACTTGCGCATTTCAGCTCCAATACTTTTCCGGGACTGGAGAAATTCGACGGACTGCGTAGAAACTCAGCATGAAGGCCCTTTTGAGTGCGAGGGTGCCGAAACTATTAAGGAGCAAGTGGCTTGAGGAGGTGAAGGATAAGCAGACTCAAAGATACCCTGTTGGGGACATCCTACTCGTCACCCTTTCGGCCCCCCGTTCGTCTCAGTGCGTCTTTTGGTAAATCCTAATGCCGCAAACACTAAGACGCTAATTCCGGAACGACATGACCTGAAACCCACAGTCCTGGATTCGAAGTCTTTGAACCCCTACACCCACACTTTAAGCCCATACCTCAAAGCTGCAGGCCAAACTGCAACCCCTGACGGAAGGGAACCCGTAAACCACAAACCCAAGCCTCAAGCCGTTACACTGTTTCCCTCAATCCAAATCCCCGCACCCTCAACCCGTTTAAGCCGTCAGCCGCACATCTTCGAGGTTCGGCACACCGGCGACCGAGGTGGACGGACAATCGGCAGGCCAATGGCATGTGGGTAGTTCTCTAAACTAGGGTCTCTTGTAGGGTCCTTTTTCGGGTGCCGTACTATTTTGGGGACCAAAAAGGGACCCTACTTTGGAGAACTCCCTATGTCCTAATCAATTAGTCTTAGTTGTTTGCGCTGCCCTCCCAAGATGGTATACACTTTGTTCGAAGTACGTACTGCATACTACCTATCGTCTCCATTGTAATTCCTGTCTGGTGTTGCCTGTATACGAAATATGTACTGAAAAGGAACCACAATGTTACAATGGAGACTGGAGGTAAGATACAGACAGTTACATGTGCTCTTGGGGTTTGTGTGGGGACGAGTATTTGGTGTTTGGAGGGTTAGTGTGTCGATGCATTAACTTAGCGTTTGAAGGGTTAGACTCCAGTTTTTGTAGTCACAACCTACTGGTTTGTAGGGTTTGGGCTACAAGACGGGCTTAAGATCAGCTTCGTCTTAAACCCCCCAAATCCCGAACCTAAACTTTACAAGTCCTGAGCCCTAAGCCTCTAACTCTAAATCCTTGAAGCTTACAGGCCCTAGGCCCGAAGCCCGATCTACTTTGGAGAAATCACTGGCGCCGGCACAAACCCTCTTTTGCCAGGCAGGCTTGACGCAACAGAGCTGGGTTTTGGTTTAGGAGTTGTGGCAAAGTGCGCTGGTCGAAATTTGAAACCTTTTGTGCCATTCTTGCCTGATGACAGTTGGGGCCCCGAAGTACCCCAAACCACTTATCCCCAAACATGATGCTTGAGTCTGATAATTACTTAGTTAGGGCTGGCAAGGCTTGGAGTTTAGTTCGCAGGCACAGCTTCCTTGGGAATCAAGGGAACGACTCGGGCTTTACAAGCGCTCCCGAACTACATGAAACCGGAGACGCTCCAACAAAAAATAGACAAAGCCCTGTTTTGTTCCACAGATGTTGTTCAAGATAGTGAGTTCAAGGTGTCGTGATATAAACCCAGACCGAGCTACCCTAAACCGGAGTCCCAGATAAGTCCAAGAGTCGAGATCCCCTTTTCCCAACACCGAATCCCAACATTCCACACATGAAATCCCGATTAAGACCTTTAGAAAGCCCTCGAACTCTCTCAACCAAGCAGAGGTCCTAGACCAGCTTAATGCTGAAGCTCGATGCAGGCAATCAAGATTCAACTTCGCAGCCCGTCGGGACCGCAGTTTTAAAGGGGTTGTAGGGTTTGGGTGTTTCGAGTTAGGATTTAGAGATTTAGAGGTTCAGGTTCAGGGTTTATGGATTTAGTTGTCCTTTTCATGCGTCGAATGTCAAGGGTACAGGATTCAGGTGAACCCTCAAGGCGCTAGTTTGTTTAGTGCTCTTGATTGCCATGATTTCCTTCTATGATTCCTTAAAGTAGATAGGTCTTCAGTGATTCAGTTAGACTTTAGAATAGTGTTGCGTTGGGCTTTTCTGGTTTCCGGGTCAATTTTCATTCATCCCTGTTAAGGGGCTCTTGGTTTAGATACGAAATTCAGACGAGTGTTGGGTTTGTAGGGTTTTAGGGCTTAGTGTTTAGCATGGCTTGGGGTTTAGACAGGTTAATTGAGGGGTTCACGGGTTCAGGGGCGCGACATCGAGACCTCTGGCTGTGAGATTCATTAGAGGTAAGATCATGTATTCAGGGGACCATGCGAAACGAGCAAAAACCCTGCAATTGAGGTTCTATCATATCCCAGTCGAAGCCTATTGTCGTTTAAGACACATCTCCACCCAAAGTAGTTTCCAATGGTGCGCAAGGTGAGGAGTTCTGTTACAAGCGCAGGGGTGTAGACCTGAAACATTAACTATAAACGCCAAACCTGCCCAAAACTAAACGGGTCCCCAAAATGTTCCCTAAATCCAAGCTCAACATGACATGGCGTCCCAACGTTAGTCTGCTTTCAACAGCGGGGTTTAAACACTGAACACACTAGGCGGTTCCAAGCGGCTGTCTGAGTGTTTTGCTGGTCGCATGAGCCCCCTCACTTCATATTGATTCCCTTGAGCTAGGGGGGAGTTTCGTAAAATATCGGAAAATATGGGACCTTAATGTACACCGTGGATAGTAGGATCCCTGCAACGCGACAACGACGCCTAAACCCGAAACCCCCAATCAACACAAGCAAGTCTCCAAAACACAATTTCGTTGAGCCCTGAATAAAGGGCCGGAATCTCACTGTAACCAGCCCCACAACCAGAGATTCCCATGTTATTCCCGATGTGGTTTGCCACGCCCAGTCCTTCGAGCAGATCATGCAAGACATCTGCCGGGAGGTGCGGGATAAACAAGACAGGGATACTTGTGTTTTTTAACATGTTTTAAGGTTAGGTTCTAAAGTGTGGGTTTAGGGTTTGGTAATATGCGGGTTATGGTTCAGGACCAGCAACACTAGCTGGAATGTGCGCTGGGTGGTGATGTGTACATTCACTTGAAGTACACCACCCAACAAAGCCGAAGCGTTCTATACAGCATGTAAGGTATGCCAAACTGCTCGACAGGTAGTCTGATACCTCCGGAAGCGATGCGATAGTGAGCACCGTTAGTTCCACGAACTCGAGAACAAACCCAGAAATTTTCAAAGCTTTATACTCGACCTCTCCAATTTTTAGCTTGATGCACTGAACGCTACACTAGAAGACCGAAGCTGTGGGCACCCCTCGTCGAGGCTTTATACTCGACCGCTCTTACTGTAAACATGATGCACGGAAGTCTACATAGGCCGCAAAACGCTAATTCCCAGTCTCTAGTGACTCTAGTGTAAGCCTTACCCGAACACGTTCAACAACTGGTACGACCTTATATGCGCACCTTAAAGCCTGCGTCCAACTATCCCCTGCACACACGCACACACACGTGCGCCCACAAATCACCCTGAACGTAAAACGAAAGCATCCGCACAAACATCCACAGGCACAAAGAGCAGACACACACACACACACACACACACACAGACACATGCGCAGAGGCATCTACACGCTTCAGATTCGGCACATTTTAACTATGGATGTGTGTGCAATTGTAGGTATCATGCAGATATACATGAGACTGCAACTGTATGTACAGGTCCACGCATATGTCTAATATGTGTGTACATATGCATATGTCTATGTCTAGATCTATGTATATATCCGTAGCTATATCTTCTATCCATAGCATCCATATCCATCTCTGTCTCTATCCCTATATCTACATCTGTATCTTTTTCTATCTACATCTATATGTACATATGTGTATATATACATATAAATATACATATATATATATATATATATACCGTCCCCCCCACCCGGTGCCCAGGTTCTGTTCTCGTACCTCATGAGCATGAGCACGAAAACATGGGTATCGCAGGGAGGAGGTCCACAATGGACAAGATGCGTTTTACCAACAGCTCACAAGTACATCATGGAAAATGCTGGTGTATCAACAGTTCCAAGAACTTCCATGAGTCCCGACACTAAATATGGCTCCGGCTTCGAAGGTGTCCCGCAATTTTTAGAAATTGTTGGACGTGGTATTACCAACACTTTCCATGCTTTTCCACAGAAAAATCATGGAAGTGGTTAATTTTACCAACATTTCCAAGAATTTCTATGGTTTTTCCAAACTATGGCTCCGGCTCCCGGGGTGTCTTGTGTTGGAATTGTTGGTTTCACGATCATTTTCCGTCAGCAAACCATGGAATTTGTTCGTCTTACCAGCATTTTCCATGATTCTCCAAACTGCGGCTCCGGATCCCGAGGTTTCTCAAAATTCATGGAAATTGTTGGTTTTGCCAGCGTTTTCCCTTAGCAAATCATGGAAAATGGTGGTTTTATCAGCATTGTCCATGATTTTCCAGACTATGGCCCGGCTCCCGAGATTTATCGAAATTCATGGAGTTTCGAAGTTAATTGAACACATGTTATGTATGCGATTTGTCGTACACGTATGAATATTTGGGAGTTCATGTGTAGTTTTACAGCGGGGTATAAGTAGGCAACTTCAGTTGCAACCCTTATTAGGGGACTAATAGCCCCCTTTATAACTACCCATCAACTTCCAAGCAGGCATGAAAGCCATTTCAAGTTGCCAACCAATCTTTGGTTCTACCCAACCCCAAGGAGTTTGATCCCAACTGTTAGGGTCGCTGTAAAGTTCGGTTACCTCATTAATCGCCCAATCGGTCCAATCCGACCAGTCGTCCTCACCAAAGTGATTCCAATCTCCTGTGTCGTCCGACGGGTAAAGTTCTTCACCTTCAACGGCTGAAACACGGTAGTTCGCCATCTTCTATCCAAAGTTCCTTTGAGCTTTCAACTCCGCTACAATTCGAAAGTACAACGTTCTAGAATACGCAACAAGCTAGTCTAAAGTTAGAAGCCACGCAAGCTCACCCAACTGCGACGCAAAGTAAACCCTGAAGTTCGGAAGCGCCTTTCTCTCTGCATGGGCCAAGTGTCTTGAGCCAACATGTAGTTGGCAAAGTCTTTGGGGAAGGAGGGACATGTTTTTTTCACAATCTGCGCACTAGTCCAGAATGCGCACCAAACTACCCTAAAGTAATTCCGTGCACAAGCTCACACGACTGAGACCAAAGTAGCCCTGAAGTTTGACAGCGCCTTTTCTCTGTGAGGGCAAAGTGGTCTTGAGCCAACGAAGGTTGGCAAAGTCGTAGGTCTGGGAGAAAGTGGGGACGTGTTATTTTCACACGCCTCCTCGAGACTAAAGTCAACTACTTTATTCTCGCAAAGTACAATAACACGTAAATGTGTACATGTACATGTGTGAGCTCACGGGCAAAGTTTTGCACAGCAGCTGCTCGGAGAAAGTTGCAACGAGGTCTCCTGTCTTCAACCTCAAAAGTTGACTTGTAAAAGAAAAGTTCGTAGTGCTCGTAGTGCAAAGTGTCGTGACTGCGCACGGCACATCAAAGTGCAGCGTGGCCCAAAAGTGGTTGGCCCATTGAAGTGCAGCAACCAAAGTAGAGACTCAACCCAAAAGGGCGAAAAGTAGTCTCAAAGTCGAGGGCGCGCGTAGAATTGTAAAAGTTCCCTCGGCACCGACTCCCACCATGGCATATTGGAAAGTGCATTCCACGCGTGAGCTGGAACAGGCAGGTGGAAAAGTCGGTAGAACGCCTGGCTGGTGGCAAAAGTGTTGTTCAAAGCGTCCACCATAAAGTTTGGCTCCACAGGATGCACCAGCACCACGATGCCAGACAAAGCGGCAGCATCCATCGCAGGATGGAGCTCAAAAGTTTGCTCCGGCGGCTGACTGATAAAGTAATCGATGTAGCGCCGGTTCCAGATCCTGGACACATTGACCAAAGTGTGCCAGCGGCTCCAGGTGAGCCTAAAGCCCAGGGTACTCACTTGAGCTGTTGCTTCCTGATCGAAAGTCCAAAAGTGAACATCAGGAGCGCGCTGCGAGGGCTGAAGCTAAAGTTTAGCACCCCATCAGAGAGCCATTGGCACTCACGTCCAGAAATGGCAAAGTGCCCTCTACGCAGGACCGAGATCAACCGAGGCACAATAAGTGCGCTCGGGAAAGTGATCCATAGCATGAAGGTGGCCATGTCTTTTCCCAAAGTGCGCGGCACATTGAGCAACAACTGTCTGCATAAAAAGTGGAACATGGTGTGCTGTATCACCCAAAGTTCCACAGCAGCGTATATCCCAGGATGTTCTCGACCAGGATACAAAGTTGCTGCAACCAGCGGCAGGGAGGAAAGTGGCTGCGAGCCTGGCAGCGTCACCAAAGTCTCCCACGTTGGGATGCCCGGCCAAAGTTGGCCCGGGATCCACAACTGTTCGCACTGCCTCGCGCGAAGGATTTCGGAGAAATTCCGAGGCTCGTAGGCTGCATTGTACATTGAAAAAGTAGGTGGCGGTCCTTCCCAGAAAGTGTACCTGCCACCCGGCATGATATCCGGATTCTCGGGTCCGGCTCCCGGTCTCAAAGTCTTCGGCGCCATCACGGCTGTGGGTCACGCCCACGACCGAAAAGTCTCCTCAAAAGTTGGCGGAAGAGCCTCCTAAGGAAGCCGCCAAAGTTCACGATCGCAGGGGCCACAAAGATGGCCAAAGTAGAAAGGCCCCAAAGTGCCACAAGGGCCAGAAGCACCACCCAGACAAAGTCCGTGCGGTGATGGGCTGGTGGTGGCAGCGGCACCCCAGAGTTCACAAAGTCACTCTGGTCCAAAAGTGGCCTCCTCCGCACCGAGACCGGCGTGGAGCAAAGTTCACTGCCACGCGGCCTTTCAAACCCAAAGTCGAACTGGGTCTCAGCCGCCCCCTGCAACAAAAGTCGCAAAAGTCTGACCTCACCGTCCGTGAGGGGTGGCTCTTGCGCAAAGTTCGGTTGCGCCATCACGGAAAGTCTCAGGCACTGATGCAGAAAGTTGCCATTGCAACACAAAATCAGACAGCCATGGCATGCGCAGAGCGACCGAATTACCGAAGTAAAAGTGAAAACGGTTTCGGCGAAAAGGCGCAAAGTTAAAACCAAAACCCACGACAAAACCCGAACACCCTGAACGGGAAAGTCAAGTGAGCTTACATATGTACATTAAAAGTGGTGCCGTTGCACCGGAAAACCATCATCGGAAAAGTCATCCACCATCAAGGTTTCACGGTAAGAGTTTCTTCCTTTTCGGAACGGAGAAAACCGAAAACTGAAAAGGCATCATCAAAGTTGGTCCCGGAAAAATGGAAAATTCCAGCGACGAGCGAAAGTCGAAGACATGTCGAGACTGCACAAGCAAGCAAAAGTACATGTCCGCGAAAGTACATGTCCGCACAAGCATGAAAAGTACATGTCCGCAAGAACGTGATTCTCTCAGCTCTCAAAGTCTTCTTCTCTCTCATCTGGGTTCTTCTGGGAAAGATGATGAGTGGCAGAGTCCAACCCGAGATGGGGTGGCTAAACCTCAAACCCGAAAGTAGGAAGGTGGCGGTGCAGAGTATCTTTGCGATGTACTTCGTAAGGATATCTGCTGGGTTCGAAGTACCAAGAACTTTCTTGATCCTAACCATACCAGAAGTAACGAGCTCTTGCACATAAAGATCGTAACTCAACGTGCTTCGTTTTACGGCTTGCGCCGAAACGTGAGGCAATACTTTTGCCAACGTTACTGTCTGTGAAAACACAAAGGTTAGCCTTCTGAAAGATCCTGGTCTCTTCTACCAAAGACCTCACGAAAAGAGCATCTGCAGTACCAGAGCCTATAGCATAAAGTTCTGCCTCTCCGCTCGAGAGGGCTACGGTGGCCTGGGTCCTGCTGTGCGAAAGTATATT